GCAGTTCAGGGTATATACCAGAACTGAAGATTATACAAATAGATTATCGAGCCGGAGCATATATTTTCTTCGGTGCATGTGCGGTAATTCGAGCCCCTAATTTGAAGCTGCCGCCAAGCATGCGCAGTTCTGCCGTTGTGTTGCTCCTACCAATATACATGGCAGTTAGGTCATCTCATTCAAAGATGTGAACGGGCTTCCTTGAACAAAACGAAGGAGAGAAGGATAAAAAAGTAAGTTTTCAGCTTTATGTCGTGTCCGCCTCACTCTCTACAAGCGAGTTGCCCTCAGTGGCCATAGCGCTAAACAGCGCCCTTCATTGACCAGAACAACTGCAATCGCATGGCCATGCTGGAAGAACAAATGGCTCATATGTGCTTGCTAAAGAGGGGGTCGAACTTCGGCCTAAAGGGTTTTTCGTAGTTGATTTTGCTTGTTTCAGGGATGTTGTCAAGGGGTGAGTCGTATTCGCTCGTTGTGAAGGAAGGAGGACTCGTATTGCCCTTCTTGCCCTCTGCAAGAGGTTGCTGGATTTTCGTTGTTTTTCCTGCTTCATGTGAACTATATATCCACACGTGCCTTACCCCCTCCCGCCCACAGCTCGTTGAGGAGAGGAGGGGGTGGTACCAACCTCCTCTCCTCCTCAACGAGTAAGGTACGGTCCGCTATAAAAAGCCTAGGTAATGTTGCAGAAATGTGGAAGAAAATTCGCCAAGAGCCGTCTACGCATTCGAGGCCCCTTCTAGCCTTGAACAAATGAAGAGGTAAAAGATCCGAAGAGACTGCGCGGGGGACGATTCCCGTCGGCTGATTCCCAGTAATGAACCCTATGATTCTACAAGAGGTACTGAATGCTTACGTTCTCTCCATGATACTTGCCCGGGAGCTTACATTACAGTACTTTTGGCTAAAAGGCCGACTTTGGAGGAAAAATAGACCATCAATAGAGTTCCGGTTCACTCATAAAAGCATCTCGGGATCCGATTGGCCATCCCACTCATGGATATCTTCTCATACTGACCCTTTTCCCCTTTTCACAAGCGGAAGGAGGATCGGCCGGCGAAGCCGGCCGATCCGACTGGCCCTCCCTCTCATGGAAAACTTCTCACAGGGACCCACTTCACACGCGGAAGGAGGATCGGCCGGCGAAGCCGGCCGATCCGACTGGCCCTCCCTCTCATGGAAAACTGCTCACCGGCGAAGCCGGCCAATCCGACTGGCCCTCCCACTCATGGAAAACTTCTCAATGGGACCCACTTCACACGCGGAAGGAGGATCGGCCGGCGAACGCTTCAGCCAAATTTGTGGTGCGCAGCTCTGCCATATTCCATTTACACCACATGTCCTTAAATGCACCTTGAAGCCAAGTCGCTTGGAGGTAATTGAGGAAATCTTGACATGCTTTATAGGCTTTATGCCTACTGTGCACCGGAGGCCTTTGCAGAGCCCTCACACGCGGTATCAACTCACGGGGAAGGAATGGTGTGCCTGAAATAGAAATATTTAAACGACCTTCTTGACCTTCTACGATTCCGAAAGCTTACCTCTAATAGTTTCTCACCACCCCACCATGCGATCATCTCCCGGAGAAGTGCCCTGAAATGGGGTAGATGTTAGGAAATATGCAGGTGATAGAATTGGGACGGTACTGGTGTGAAGATGATGCATCGGCGGAGGAGCAATGTAGAAGCTATCCCTGCAGAGTGATTGCGATAGAGCAGCAGAAGCATGTAGGAAACTGGGTCGAGTAGAACCTGTGAGTAGTGAGTTTATGGAAAAGTCATGACAAGACGCGGTGTAGTCACCTGAAAGCATGCTCGTGACGACAAACACTGACGAGGTGTGTTATGACAAGGCGCTTATCGAAATATATAAACACCAGTCGGATCGCCCGGCTAACGCCGAGCTCTCCTCCTTCTTGGAAGCCCGGCTTCGCCGGGCTCAAGCAACTGCTTTAGAGCCTCACTTCTTAACTCGTGAAAGAAAGGAACAAAGTAAGGCATAAGCAGGGCGATACTACTGTCTTAGGCATTTATGATGCTCTCATGGTGCCTAACCGGTGTCTTCTAATCAAATAAATGTAGGAACGCGCCATATAGTCGCAGGGCACTTTTATAATGAAAGGTTTGAAATCTGGTCATGGATAATCGATTACTGTCCTCCCCATCTTATGACAGCCACGGATTCTTCGGTCTCCGCAGTCGCTGCGTGCTCCTGTTCAGGCGAGCGTCGGTCGCGCCAATATGGTACCCCTTCACCTCACCTATCCCCAAACTAACCTCAGCTATTCCCCGCTCAGCCACCCTACAGGTCACGCTCAGCTGCTACGCGAATAGCCCGTGCAATGGTTCTGAGTGCACTAAATGGTTGTGTTATGTTGTGGAGGGTGTTATGACTATCAAAACGCTACCACAATTTGATAATGCAACATTAATCGGTTCAGTTCCGATTGCGGTCGATCCATTTTCTTCCCATCTTGTCGCAACCGTAGACGCCTTACCGCCGCAGGGGCTATGTGCTCCTATCGCGAAATCGCCGTTCTCATCTGGTATCCCCTCACCACATCATATCCCACTGACCCTATTTAACCGGCACCCACTCCCGCACGTGGTATGCAGCCGCCATGCAACATAGGGACACTACTCCGCCACTGTTCTTACCACCGCCTTGCTCGTGCTCACGTCCAGCTCCCAAGCGAGCAGCTCCTGCAGTAGCACAGAGTATATCACAGTGGTTGGCCCCAGTTTGCCCGATTCAATCCATATGCCTCCTTCCCCTGCATGGGCTCAGCTGAGTACGCGCAAGGGAGTGAGGATGGGAGAAGGGGGTCACTCGATACTAACTCCCACCTTCCTCACCTCACCCCATTCCGTACTCGCCACTCCACCCCCCCCCCACCTTGCCCCTTGCACGCACTTACGTCCAACTGCCACGCGAGCAACCCGTGCAATGGCTCGGAGTGTAGTGGTTTTCTTATGTCGTGGAGAGTTATCACAACCAAAACAACTTCTTAGTTCGTTACGGTAACATAGATTGGCTTGCAGTTTTGTTAGCGGTTGTTTCCTCATCCCTTGGTGCGCGTTTCTACTGAAACGCGCGCTACGCACCCCTCACTGTACCCCCTCCCCGCGACCCTCCCCTCTGCCTCCCTCCCATACACTTGCTCAGCTCCGGCTGAGCACGTGCAGGAGAGGGAGGCAGGGCGACCCGGTACCCCCACCCTGCCCCGCACGAGCACACGTCCAGCTGCCACGCCAGCAGCTCGTGCAATGGCTCGGAGTGTACCGAATGGTTGTCTTATATAGCGGAGGCTGTTATCACAATCAAATCATTGGACTGCTACATCCTCCCAGTCGGTTACCGGTTTGCCTAGCGGTCGTTTTCGCCTCCAGCGAACTCGAACCCGTGAAGTATTTTGCGGACGGACAGACAAACATACATACATACATACCTACAAACCTACATACATACAACAAACATACAAACCGACACACAAAGTTACTGGTTTATAGAATGAAAGATATTTTCAGGGTGACCTTTTAATAAGGTGGGAGCAGTAGCAGCAAGGTCAACAGGAAGAGGCTATAAGAGAATTGAAGTGTGAAAGGTCATCCTGTAAGAATTAATTTGCCTTTGGAAGGTCATTTGATGTATATGAACACCTAAAAACAGAAACATTTGAAAATTTCAACACGTTTCTCTTCCATGCGAACATTTATCCTCAACCCAATATTCATAGAATTACGAAATTACTGATTTTAACTTATTAAATCCGATTATCATACGTATTCGAATCGATTCATCTCGTTACGTTGAGTAGCCAGTGAGAGGTCAGCAGTCAGCGCTGCAATTAAGCGCGGTCATGCCGCAGGCGGGCCTCGGGATATGCGCTGGGTGGTGGCATACAGTATCTACAGTATCTTACCGTATGCTACTCCAGCTAAAGGTGCTCACCCTAGCTAGACTACTTGGAGGCAAAAAATTACTATTATGAGAAACTAACAACATTACAGATAAGAAGTACCAATGTCAAATAGCTGATATATGACCGCATAAAGTTATTCATATACAGTTAGCCGACCGCCGCACATATACCAAGCCCTTCATATCCCTAAGCTAGGTATGCGGCGTGCAACACCTAAGGCTTGGCCGCATGCTATTGCTATTGTCAAGAGGTCAGCTGCCGTGAAGTCACCCAAGTGGGACCACCCACTGTAGTAGGATCTTTTGCAATGAAATTGAATGCCAGCGCTATGTATGTAAATTGTAACATAGAAGATGATTTGTAGTTTTCATCGAAGCAAAATTGCTCTCTTGAAGCGCAGCAATCGTTGAGTTCCAGCAAGCATCGGGAAAACAATAGCGGATGAGAAGGCACACTCTACATTCTGGGGATGAAAAGGATGCAGTCGCGAACTCAACAGGTGACAGACAAGGTATCCAGTGATGAAAGAACGTAACTGAAAGAGAAGAGAGAAGAGAGAGAAGAGCAAACAATAGCCGAGGAAATGAGAGAGTGGTTTTCCAAGCACTGCAAGTAAAAGAGATGCAATACCGCTCTACTGCTTTCAGATTTGAAGAATGTTATCGAAGCGTGCCCACTGAGGATCAAATAGAAGACTTTTGTAGAAGGATGGCTAGATATGTAACTAGTAAAACCATATAATTTTTAGATTGTTAAGAAGTGCATTTTATTTGTTTCGTTGTTAATCTATTGTCATTATAAAGAAATTTAATTTATATTTATAGAAATTTATAGAAATTTTCTTCCTAACACTCGACCTTGTGAATAATCAAATCGATACATCTCGTTACGTTGAGTAGCCAGTGAGAGGTCAGCAGTCAGCGCAGCAATTAAGCGAGGTCATGCCGCAGGCGGCCGGGATATGCGGGCCTCGGGATATGCGCTGGGTGGTGGCATACAGTATCTTACCGTACTTACCGTATGCTACTCCAGCTAAAGTCCGCCACCCGTCTAGCTATCTTTTGAATTGCAGGTAATGCGCCGTCTTAATGATTTCGAATGCAATATGGTGTATTCGTTGTACATGAAGCGAATCCCAATGGCCAAAATTGCGAGGATTCTCGCCACTCGACTTCCTGGAATTACGAGCGTTAACGTGAAAACAGCCGTGATGAACGTTCTACAACGAATCAGGTCGATCAATTCAGTTCCGAGAAGTTCAGTTCAGATCACTCAGCAATTCAGTCAAAATGAGGAGGATGCGATTCTGTGAGGAAATGATTTCAAATGCTGTGAGTCCATGGATAATTCACTTTGATTACTTCTGTCGCTGAAATGTTCAAATGATAGGAGCAGTTTCGTGATGTCATTTTTATTGATGGGACAACAATTCACATTGAGCATGGCTCGAAAAGGGAAGAGAGACCAGAGCGGAACCCTCCTCCTCGATCCATGTTTGGGCAGGGATTTCCTGTGAAGGAGCAACTCCTGTAGCAATCTTGGACGGAAAGGCAAGTCACTCAGATATTGAGCTCGAATTCAAAATACTTAAGAAGTGATGCATTATAACTGGGTCAGAAGCTGTTTAGGTGTCGTTGACTTCTGCTCAGCACTGCAAATTGATTCGTGAACAATACCTTCCGCTGGCTGGAGACCTCTACGCATTCCGATGCAGACTGGTTCACAATGATACGACCATCCATCGAACACGTCTTGTTAAGGAGACCCTGGACAGCTTAAATATCCATAGTTTGAAACGGCCACCAGAAAGCTCTGATATTAACCCATTGGAGCAGGTCTCGCTCGACTTGATGAGTTTTCTCAGGTACGGTCTTAGCGACTGCTTCAAATGCGGAGATACTGAAACAATTTATTTTTAGAGATGAGTTCAAACCAAATTACGAAATTGACATGGCGAAAGGAATCCGTAAGTTCTGGAATGACAGCATTAACGATAACCAGTGTCGAAATTATATTGGGCGCATACGCACATTACTAAGAAAAGTCGTCTCGACGAACGGGAGCTGTGTTATGGATATGTAGCCCGATTTATAACATCTATGACTTTCGACATGTATTTCATGTGGTTTTGCTCACTTGCTGTAGAAAAAGTAAGAAGTTGTCGGCGTGATGCCATGGCACATACTTTTATATATGAATTATTCTTTGTGATTATATCGGTACTGGTGAATGTATTTCTGACAGGATAGTCTTCCGCAATCATGTTCAGTTAGTTAGAGGACCGAATGTTATAGACTCTTTTATTAGTCATGGTTATTCCGATACTGGTTAAGGCATTCGGCACTGAGTAATCCGATGCGATATTATTAGAATGCGTATTGGATTGCCCGTACTAGTTGACGTCTTTTTCCCTAGATCAATTTTTGTGTGAAAAAATGGTTTTTTTTCCATCGTGTTTCACTACAGTTTCAGCTATTCGAAATGGATAAGGAGATTGTAGAAGACGCTCAAATTCTCAGACTTGACACAACTCAGACAGGGAGACTCATTGTCATTCAGGTTGCGCAATCAGGGTACGCCATCTCTGTGATGCTCACAACAGGGGCGGGGGGGGGGAGGGGCGTATTTGACCTCGAGGGAGGGGGGGTCGTAAGCGCGGGGCCCTTTCTGAAGTGAGGGTGCAGCGATACCCAGATGTCGTTCAGCTTCAATGATGAAAGACTTATCCATGTGAAGAACCCCTGAAGAGACACCACACAAGACAGAAGCAACCTGCCAGCGCAGAAGTGGGGAACGGGCGATGACAGGAAATACGATGGCCGCCCACAACGACGTCATGAATTAATAAACAGATGAAAATACACTTCCGGACCTTTCTATCGCAGAAGCACATCTACTTGCACGGAGGAAGCCCTTTCTAGAAGTTGCACCTTCCCAATATCTCTGCGTGAAAGCCCTATGATTGCCATCGCATTACAGAGGCCAATCGGTGCCCAATGAACTGTTTTCTGATACCCTTGGCTTTAGAAGCATACCGAAGTGTTTAAGTCAACTGGAGGTTTTATTTATTTATTCATTTATTTATTTACTAGCACTTACGTGCACCATCGACAGCAGAAAAGAACAGGAGTCGAATGGGTTGGTTTTCCTGTCGTAGGGCAGGGATCACGTTCTGATCACAAATAGGGATTTTCTCGAATAGCCCAAGGGATGGAATGAAAGTCATGCTGAAAAGTAGAAAGCTTCAAAATTCGGCACTGTTTTTCTTTTTACGAAAGGCCCTGTATGAAGCTTGTTATGGCTGTTCAAAGCGTAAGGACTTGTAAGTGACCCCGTGATCGAGACCGGATCAGTGCTGTAGGGTGGAGGCTTGGTGGTGAGCTGTGAAGCATAAGCGAGGAATCGCATACGAATCGAGTCGTGGTGGTTCAGTGGTAAGGTTCGACGTTCGACGACTCGATTCGACGTATGCGATTCCTCGCTTATGCTTCACAGCTCACCACCAAGCCTCCACCCTACTGCACCATTACAAACTTTACCTGCTCATAAGTTGCTTGTGAAATGCAGTTGCAGTTTTGCTATCTATATTTGTAAATAGCCTCATAGACTCTATCGATCTACTCAGGTTCCATGATAAGTTGACGAATTCCCTGGTGACACACGGTAGGAGTGGCTGCAAACCTCAATTGAGCGTGACGGTGGTTGTGCTTTTGGTGAGATGTCTTCCTTCACGAACAAATACGGTGATTCAGGTCATCACAAAAGAAGGTGACAGTTGCCTCAAACTGAATTATCCCGCGAGAAACCCCTCCTGTGCCATGTTTAGGTGCTCCGTCCCAGAAACAACGCGTGACAAGGGAGAGCTCAATAAGAAGAACTCTGGGGTTGAATATTTCCCATAAGACACCCGCCTTAATAGGCCCAATGTAATCTGGCCGAACAATTGTACATGACCGCAAAACATGAGTAAATTTTACTTCACGACCCCTGGAAGATACCATGTACTCCCATTGTTTGACGCTTCTATGCCACCTATGTTTTGACATCTTGGTGAGTGCATTCACTCATAATCCCCGAGATGTGGAAGGCGTGGCTAACTCAACTAAAGGTAGCGGTGGCTGTGCGTCTGGTGAGGTTCGTCTCGAGACAACTGGAATCATGTCTTTGTTGAATACTGAACATGATGAAGTGAAATGTCCCGTTCTATGCCTCGTTCGGATGCCACGCCGTCCGTTTCAGGGATATGGAGTGTATAATCCCTCTGTAGAACACTATAAACGACGGAGGCAACTTATGGAATGCGTTGCCACTTGATTTCAGCAAATGTTGTCCGCAGGATATTTGCAGATATTTCAGTGAAATCAGTCCAGGGTAATCCAGTGGAATCAGTTTAGTGTCTTGCAGAGAATGCCTCGTTCCCATCTTATAGCCTAGTTCTGTTCGAATGTGATCTTACTCATGATCTTCGTCTTCTTCTTCTTCTCCCTAGCGTTAGTCCCGCGCCGTCGCAGGGTCCGCTGTTCTTGTTAGACGTCGCCACTTGTTCCGATCCACTGCATCTTCTGCCGTGGCTTTCACTTCAGTGAGGTCCTTCTTGATGACGTCCCTCCATCTTTTCTTTGGGGCTCCTCGTGGTCGCTTGCCCTCTGCTTCGAATTCCAATGCCTTCCTTATTGGGTGGTCCTCAGGCCTTCTCAACACGTGCCAGCACGTGCCCATACCATCGCAGTCGCTGCTCTCGTGCCTTCAGCTGGATCGGAGCCGTCTGTGTGACGTCTGACGTCCTCGTTTCTGACTCTGTCGAGTCGTGTCCAGCCGCAGGCCCATCTCAGCATCCTCATTTCAGTTGAGTGGAGGTGTATCGTTCTCGAGCACTGCCGGTCGCATAGGATGCCAGTGGACTCCCTCCATTTCATCCAGGCTGCGTTGATTCGGGCTTTCACCGCCTGGTCCATCAGCTGCTAGGTCGCTCCCCAGGTACTGGAAGTCCTCGACCCTTTCGATGCTCTCGCCATGGCGGTCTACGATGGGTTCGGTACACTCTTCAGAGCTGGAACTTGGTCTTCTTCACGTTCAACCGGAGTCCATTCTCAGCGAGCACATCCTGCCACCGCTGCACCTTGTCCTGGAGTTCTTCCCTGCTGTCCGCTATCAGGGCGATGTCGTCAGCGTAGAGGATGGTTTTCAGTGGTCCCTCCATGAGTTCTTTTGCCATGACATCTAGAGTCAGGAGGAAGAGGAACGGGCTGAGGGCTGATCCTTGGTGTACCCCAACCGTGATGTTTACCTCCTTCGTCAAGCCGTGCGGGGTGCGTACAGCTGCTTTAGCCCCATCGTACATATCCTTCACTATGGAGACCAGGTGCTCCGGAACGTTACGTTCTGAGCGCTCTCCAGAGTACAGGCCGAGGCAGGCGGTCGAATGCCTTCTCAAGGTCCAGGAAGGCTAGGTAGCAGGGTCGCCGCTTCTCTCGGTACTCTCATCAGCTGTCTGGCGATGAAGATGGCATCAGTGGTGGACCTTTCGGGCATGAAGCCGAACTGTTCCTGCAAGATAGAGACAAGTTCCCTCGTATTGACCTGGCGCTCCGGAACTGATCTTATGGCCTCGTCCAGGATTATGTAGAACTCATCCTTTTCCGCCTCGAACCGGATTGTGGTGCGTACACGGTCAGTACGGTCCAGTACCCTTCCTTCGTGTCCATTCTCACTCCCATGATCCGATCACTGATTCTGTTCACAGAAGAGACGCAGTCCTTCAGGGATTCTGCCACCGCTATGGCCACGCCATTCCGTTTGGTGTCTGCTCCATTGTAGAAGAGTTTGACACCTTCTCCAATCTCGCGGGCCTTCGCACCCTTCCATCGCGTTTCCTGAAGGCATAGGACTTGGATATTCCTCCGTCTCATGAGGTCGGCAACCTCACGAGACTTCCCGGTAAGCGACCCCACGTTCAGGGTCCCAATTCGAACTAGCTTCTTTGGCCGAGGTCGTTCACCTCGGTAGCCCTCGCATACTGACCACAGAACTCGATCGAGGGTTCTGCGCGCCACTTCCGGAGCCCAAGTTCAGGGTCCCAATTCGAACTAGCTTTTTTGGCCGAGGACCTTCACCTGGGTAGCTCTCGCACGTCCTAGCTTTAACACTGATTCTATTGCGACGTCATGATTGTTGTGACGGGTTCCTCCATCAGCCGGCCTGTCAACCTGGGCCTGACGCTGGTATCGTCCCCATTTTTGCAATTTTTGCAAGGCAGGTTTGTGCCTCGGCAGTCGTCTTTCCCCTCCTCGTGGTGGAGATGCGCTTCTAGACTGATATTAAAAGATTTACTGCGTTTGGTTTTCGATTTCCAGTGGTTGCTTGAATATTTCAGCAACCAGCCCTGCACTGTTGTCATGACGCGCGATGTACCTCGCCCTTTGAGATGCACCCTAAATGGTGTTGCATTAGTGTGCTGTTAAATGTTCACTCCTCTTCCATGTTATCCCCTTTCAGTTTTCGTAGAATCTTTTTTATTCCACCAACGCGCCACCTGGTCCAACGGTTCCGATTCACGATGATTACATTCTGTTCAAACAACCAAAAAATCCAACTAAACAAACTGTAATGGGTTCGTATGACGAGAAGAGCACAGAGTAGGGCTCGCTCCCCAGTTCCAACAGCTCTTTCGACGGAATGCAAAGAACGAGGAAAAGTGAGGGAATACGCTCATCACGATTGCTTGGTCTCGTGGCCCATAATGTCCACTAGGGGAACGTCGAGCCACTCTCTGCTTTTGCATCTCCTAAGGCAAGCTCCCAGAACGCTCGGCTACATACTCCAGAAGGCATTCTAGATAGGGAATATGGAATGAAAAGATGACAGAAAAGGGCTTTAACGGTGAAGGTGACTTGTTTCCTTTCTAGGTACTGTCCACGGGCATAGAAGAGAGGATGGTCGGAACATAAGGGTGCACACATGCTCCTTTCCCGACAAAAACTTGGGATGTACTGGAATCACCACAAGAAATCACAACTGTGAAACAGCGAGAAAATTTCAAAGTGTGAGCCTCACCACCGAAAAACTCTGAAGTGGGATGACGGAATCAACGCTGCACTGCACGCGATCCGCTCCTAAGCGTACTGATGAGTTCTCGTCGAAGATTGTTTGAAGTGATGAATTTTTTCTTCATCCCACATAGAAAAATAAAGCTAGGTTGTTGGGATAGCTTTTTTGTTTTCTGGGGAACCGGAAACTACCTAGACACGCCATCGTCTACAGTTCTTCATGAAAGGGATAGTACCCACGTCAGAAGACCATACAGAGTCGCTCAGATTCCAGTCTGTCAAGAAAGTTGAACTAACTCCGAGATTTCTCCCTATTTGAAACAAACATCGATCTTTCTTGATAGATAGGTGACATATCACCGCAGTGAATATTCTAATAATAGGGCTTAAGATGTAGAAAAGTCATTAAAAAGGCGACATAACTCAAAACAGGAGGTTTTTAGAGGTCCTTTCTCTTGAATGCTTCTGATTCGGTTTCACCAGATAACAGTTACTCGACTGCTGTACCTTTGATCAAACCAGGAGATTGTCGCATTGAACCAAGGCGCTTCCTTCAAGCGATAAACCTCAGCACATTGCGCTGTAGGCAAAGATGTTTCTTCTTTTATGGTACTGAATTAAGGCACACAGATCTCCTCCTCTTTCAGTTGAAGGTTGCCTTCGATATTCCACGGATGCTCGATGTTCGGACAGTTTCAAGGAGTACTTTCAGTTGATGAGCGTTTGAGGATGTCTTCCTCTCAAGGTGCGTAAGTTACGGTATCGTGTCATAGCGAAGCTCAGTAATGATAATAATAGCTAATAATAGCTGTAAGAAAACCCTCATAATTGAGAAGAATCATAAACGTCCCACAATTTTAAGGAGCACAGGAAGAATGCTACAGCTCAAGTGCAGGAAGAATGGTAGGAAAGAGCCCGCATACTCTTCAACTGACCAATACATGACGCGAACATCTTTTTGTTCTAGCCTAGGCAACTTATGTGGTGTTGAAGGTGTTCGGATGCTATCCTTACAAGTTTTGAACAAACAGGTAAGGATATACAGTGGAGTGTGGCAATCAGAGGCCTTTTCTTTTTTTTGTAATTTTACAAGCAATATGTTGTCGCCTTTCTGAAGCGATTCCGAATATTCTTAAAGCACGACAGTACACAGAAAAAGCTGTCTCCTACTAACATGAATTGATTTATGGTGGGCGGTGACGGATCATTCACATCCATACCGGAATATCGTCATACTTTTTTGGAATATGCATACATTCAAGGTACCCGGACATGGCTGTTCCCTTTAAAAGGCATACTACATGGTGTTCAGCAGCAGCCAGCGCAACATGTTCTTTATTTCAGCACATTTCCGCCCAATCTTTTCTCTACTTTTATACTATCAAATATTTCAGGATGCGCATAATCGTGCTGTTGATTGCAGCATTTGTCTATCTGATCGATGCCCATTTTCGGTGCAAAAACTTGCATGGGGAAGACGTTGACTGGTCAGTACGGTATTAAATTCGTCAGAAGTACGCACAGCTTCTATCAGGTGGTTATGAACAGAATAACTTATTCACAGGTTTGTCGGGATAAAATTGCCCGCGAATGTCGACGAAAGAAAAGGGCGAAGTTTCGTCTACTATGATTCTTCTCAAACAGGTTGGGTCATGAGCGAGCCAGCCAATAAACAGTACTAGGTCCGCAATCGGTGCCACTGTCAATCAGCTTTACACCAGCGACAATGTAAGGGACAGCTCAAAGTGTACTGCATGACTGTACTCACCCAAAGGAAGTTTAGAAGACGACCTTCAAAATCGCATATAATGACGATTGCCCCGGAAAGGAAGTAGGACAGCGGACGTGGTCACAGCAAAGGTGTAGCTGTTTTCACTATTGACAGTGGATTTTGGCTGGTGCACAGTGTGCCCAACTTCCCTCCACGTGGTGAGTGACCTCCTGAACGAGCTTCAGGTGAACAGAGTGCAATACATCTGGTAGTACGCTGCAAATGACCTTGGGTGCTTTCCAGAGAAATACGACTATCCGGAAACCGGTACGAAATACGCGCAATCGTTCCTGTGTCTCTCACTAGATGCTGACGCTCTTGTGGATCTTAGCCACTACATGAGACATTCCCAAGTGACGCCGTACATTACTAACCTGCCCAAGAATTTCGAAATAATGTGAATAATAGGATGTAGGAGGATGGATGACATTACTTTCCCTATATCGTCCATTACAGAGCACCCTACCTCGTTGATGTAGTGAACAGGAAATCTCTTGGACGAGCAGACACGAGGTATACTACCGCTCACGACTTCGAAACCCGTGGTCACATGAGAGTTAAGGCATTTGCAAAGCATAAGAAATTCGGACAAGGTATTTGTACTCTTGACAGAGAGCTGCTTGACTCAGTTTCATTCTTCGGAGAATGCTCATCCAGATCTATGGCACGACTTCATCGCTCTGTACCTTAGAACTCCTATGGCAGTTGAGACATGGAGAAACGGAGCAGCCAAGAATGTCGGCACGCAGTGCGATAATGGAGAAAACGTAAGCGTGTTGACATAAGCGTATGTCCAGACTGTCTACTGAAGGATGTAACGCTTGGGATCAACTTCAGGTTTACGACATCGACTCGGTGAAGGTGCTGGACAAGGTATTCGCCAGTTCGAAAGATCATTCGAAGTGGGGTGTGTCCATGAATGAGAACGTACCAGCTGTGTGCATAGGAGATGTGAACAGACAGGTGATGTTCAATCACTAGTGGAAGCGATTTGAAAATGTGCCTTCTTTGCATCAGGTGTCGCAATTCAAGCGGGGAGGCGGCGCTGTCTGCATAGAAGATAAGACATTGTGGAAGACATTCAATGGTTCGGTAAATTCTTACCTGGATTGTGGAAAGACTATCAATGGTTCGCGGTAAATTCTTACCTGGATTGTGGTGTCGTAGTTGAGAAAAAGCCTTCAAAAGGTAACGGTTCCATCCATAAAAATAGATATCTGGCGAGGATATACAGAATTCCGTTCAGATGCCAAGAAGCCCAAAAAGAACAAGAAAACAGAATAACTATTCACGCAGTTCATCAATAAAGCTGGTTTTCATGTTTTGTGGAATAAAGCTTTACGAACAAACGAGCACTTATCTGGTATGGGGCGGGGTAGGCTCAGCGCTGCGTAGACATAAAGATGAGGAGCACGACATTTCTAAGTTCAAAAGTATGATATTGGCACAGGAGACAGAAATTCCTGCTGGGAAGGTGCTAGAGGCGTTTTCGGTTTCCAGTAGGAATCCTAAGATAAACAGTTTGCCGTTCATGCCATACTGCGAATTGTGAGTAGCGTTGTTGCGTACGTATCCTTACATTACACATACAAGGAGACTCTACAGTATCATCCGCTATTGACTAACATCCACATGTGACGGCGAATTTGCCGCGGAACCCTGGTGAGCGCGCTTTGCTAACTCTGTAGATTCTTGTTGAGTTCCGAACACATCATCGGGACCGCTAGGGTGGTCGAGCGCTTGGCGGGGTAGTGTTACTCTCGCTCAGCTCGAAAACGCGTTTAGCTCTGAAGAAGACGACCACGTCGAAACGTTAGGCCGAATCATATGGTTAACCTCGTCACAATCCGGCGTACAGGTGTCCCTAGACGTGGAATGAGCCCCATCAAGAGCGATTTCTATTAATGGTTGCATTCTTCCTAGATCAGCCACTACTGGAAGAAATGCTGGCGCGAGTTTGCGCACTAAACGCGCCGTGGCACCGCCCCGACCGAAATGCGAACGATACAGAAACTATACAAACAAGCTCGGAAGCAAGCGTGACTATCGCATCCATCTCTGCATAATTCTATTAGCACGCGTTTGTGTTGCGAGAGTGCCTGCTAATAAGGAATAATTCACTGTTTGATGAGACACCCTTGATGATTCCCATAGAGGACTGTTATGTTTCTATGATCCATTTCCCAGAACATTCAACATTTAGTAATCATATTTGAGTATATATTTCCACATTCTGGATATATAATAGCCATCTTCACTTTACAACGTTACCCAAGTCGACACTTTTCAAACATCGAACATTTTCGAACAAATCGACACTTTTCAAAACCAAATCGCGGACACTTTTCAAAAATCAAATCGACACAACCCCTTACAATTAGGTGGTTGATACGAACGGGACGGTGCACACTAGGTACTGTTTGCCAGAGCCTCGCCCGCCAGTTACGCCCGGCTCAGCGTTGCTCATCGCGGGAATTAGTGTTTTACCCAGGGATGCCTGCATGAAATCTGCTCCCTCGACTTTTTTCAGTTTTTGGGCCCTTTGCACAGCCACAGCTCTTCAAACGTAAAAATAGATTGATAACCTATTGCAAGTCTGACTTCCGCCCAATTATCAATGAAGTTACGAAAGTTTTGAATTTTTTGAACTTTTTTCGACGTAGTTCTTTTCATATCCAATCTTCACAAAACGAATAACCATGCACAGCACATCAGGCCCCGCTTTAGCGATTGGCTCCGCCCACCAATGGAAGCTCCGCCCACTTTGGGCCACACAGAATAAAAGAAAGGGAAAAAGTGGAAAAAAAACTTTGTTATGAGACGACGAGAGAAGGCATTAATCCGCAGTACGGGACACTGCCCGCCGATTTTCATTCATTTTGCGGAAAAGTGTGCTCGGGGTCTTCCCCCAAAAGTGGCGCGAGGCAATCGCTAAAGGCCTATAAAAATCAAAAATCGCGGGATAAGAAAAACCGAAAAATTCGCAGGATAAACACAAGTAGCGAGGTTCAGGAGGGGCGGGGCCTGGTGTGCTGTGCATGGTTATTCGTTTTGTGAAGATTGGATGTGAAAAGAACTACGTCGAAAAAAGTTATAAAAATTCAGAACTTACGTAACTTCATTGTTAAGTGGGCGGAGTCAGATCTGTATAGGTATCAATCTTTTTCAGTTGAAGTGTGTGTGCAAAGGGCAAAAACGAAAAAAAGTCGAAGGAGCAGATTTCATGAAGCATCTCGGAAAACCCTGTCCGCGCTGAGAAGTGGGCGATAATGGGGCGGCAGCTTGCAACACTATCCCTAGGTGTGGTCTAGTTATTCAAGGCACTAATTTTGTTGTAAGGGGTGTGTCCGATTTGATTTGAAAAGTGTCCGATTTGGTTTGAAAAGTGTCCGATTTGGTTTGAAAAGTGTCCGATTTAAAGTGAAAATGGTATATAAAGAATACCAACAATCTGATAAGGAATACTCAGTTTATAAGAATAAGAAGACAATATTCAGAGCACCACTTAATTTTCCTCACCCCGGGTAGTGGATCCTCTGCGCATTTTCCGGAAATTGTTATTTCACCTCTGCCACAGTCATACCAGGACCAGTTCTATTTTCGGAGTGCAAAGCGCAGCCAGCAGTAGGCCCATCTGCGCTTCAAACGCTGCGAACGTTTCTTCACTTTACGTTTGCAGCTCCTTGTTTGTTCTCATCCATATGTAAGGTGGGTAAGGTGGTCGCCTGCGCTCAAATACACGCCTCTTAGCACGCTCACTCATTTGCAGGAGTAATGTTCGGATCACATGTTGCTTATAAGGGTCTGTGCCCTTAGCCCTAAGTTGCAGCTTCGTTTCAGCACGTTGCACTTTCTAGCCACCTGAAATTTGTAAATTTGGAGAAATACTGTTACAGCGCGATCAGCTTGCGAGCGTCCATAGTTTTTGCGGAAGGCGTCGGAGCCAGATATAGCATCCTAGAATTCCCAGCGAACAAGACTGTGAGTCACGTGCAACAACTATTTCGTTGTGCTCACTGTGAATTGGGAAGGTACCATGCTCCTCAGCTACTGTTCATACTATTTCTTGACCACCCCCTCCCAAGTCGTTCGAATTCACTCCTATGTGATTATTCTTTCATTTTCACTTTATGTCCTTGCATTCATGCTACATACTACTGCTTCTTCCGAGCGAATTAAGGTGGTGGGAGTTTGACATGACTTCCTTTGGGGTACCATAACCCCCGAATCAAATCCCGATTTGTATACGGCAGCTATATAAAAGCGATAAACGGGGGCTACAGCATCAATTGTAAACGAATTATCACGACTTCACAAGAATTCAGAGGTTTTTCAGCATGGGCAGTGATCGATTATAAGAGCATCGCTTTGAACAATGTTTAAGTTGGCACGATGATTTGGTGCTCGGCCTAAAATGCTAGTAGGGCGCTATATAGTGGGGAAATGGCGAAAGAACGGAGTGAAACGGTCAAAATCCTGCGAAGAAAGAGCCTCCGTTCTCAATGTGTTAGAATCAATTTTGGACGAGTTTCCTGTAGGCATCTTGCCAATAACCACCACCGGAGGTTGGCTGCCATGTGTATTCATGTATCCATGCGGCACCGCAGCCGCTTGCAAGTGAAGCAATACGGGCAGCGTGTACGGTCGTCCACTTGTAGACGGGCTGGCATGGTGGGTGTTCGGGTCAGTGTGTTGTAGCTTGATAGAACCCTGTAAGGATACCTTCCTCAGAGAAGGGCTCTACACAGCGCCTACTCACGGTCGCGGCATTCCGTGCTGCCAGGCACATTGATCCTACTAGTCTTGAGAATCTATCGTGCCAACTACCTTTAGAAGTGTATGGGCGAACTCGCCCCAACCCCAGTCAACGGACGCGGCCCGATTTTTTGGAATTAGCGTGACAACAGTGGGTGTCGGAGCACACGATCCCAGTTTCCAGGTTGGAATCTACGGCACACGATCCCGTGCGCCGTAGACCCCAACCTGACTTGAATTGTTCCAGTTATTACGGAGTCTTTATCTAGATAGTATACACTGCTGGAAGGTGCTAAGAAGCTGCATGCAGCACAACTTAAGAAGAAAAAACAACAAGTCCTGAAGGGGGGAGGGTTCGTATAGACACCGAAATCCTCAACGCATGACGTGCCCTGGCTGTAACGCGTTGTGAAGGCGTCAACGCGCTACCATTGCCGCCGCACTAGGATGAAAACGCCTACATGGACGAGAATCAATCGGAGCTGTCTTGGGAGAGTACAGAACAATAAAAGGGTAACAGGCTATGCGGTCAGGTAAGGTCTACCCTACTATTCTCCCATATTCTCTCCAATGGCGGTCGGTGCCTTATCATTAGCCGTCTATCTTGCCTTCCCGTTCAGGTACGTCATCGTCGGAGACTCGCCAACAGAGGGTATTAGCCCACTGGCCTCTTGAAAGAGCTGTTGACTTTGGGTGGTTTTCCCAGTATCATATGCTCTATATACCCCTCCCCCCGCTCGACAGCTGATGAGAAAACTAGGGGGTGCCGTATCAAGCCACATTTGGAAGGAAGGGGGTCTTCCGAATTCGACCGAAATCCCAATCAATGAACAGATGATGTGCCCCTGCTGCCCGTCCAATGCACTAAAGAGCGATTACAACGGATAGCGCGAAGACGCGCGTTACAGCGCGTAGACGCCAAGCCTGAGCGCTGTGCTGCTCATGCATTTAACCTTCACGTACTCGGAAAACAGATGCAGATGTGCAAGTCGCTCACTGAGGTTCAGCGTGTAGGTATGCAACTACTACGCAGGTACCGGCGCACTTGCTATCAGTGTCGTTCCTTGATAAACTTTTTCAAACAGCATTATTCGTTATTCATTATAGGAAAATAGTCACGTAATACGAAACGACTTCACAATCGAGGAAGGAAACCTCATACTCTTCGAGTTCGAATTGCTTTTTGATGGGCTAAATCCATTTGGACTGTTGCTATGATTCTGAGAGGGTGCTCTGTTTACGGCACACTTCGAGAAGGGGTTCCAAAAAAAGTGGGCATCGAAGCTCAGCTTCACTTGGAATGGAGCGGTCTCACCTCTCCACTCACTGAATCCGCTTCGGGAATACACCGTTTGACTACTACAATTGGTAAGAACATCGCAACT